AACTACAATGAAGTAGAGTTTTTACTGAATTGAGTTTTGATTCTTTGATCTTGTTTCATCATATTTACTAATTTTCCATTCATCATAATGGCTCTATATAAATCATGACCATTTTCAATCCAGAAACCCATTTGTTTATCCTTTAATGTAAAAACTTTTGCATTAAAAAGAATGAAAATAAATGGGTTTCTAACCAGAATACACATTAAGAGATGCAGCCAATCAGTGCAAAGCTGCCAGAGGTTACATTGGCCCCATTGGTAAGTCTGTATGAATTAGACTGCAAGTTAAATGAATAGGAATTATACATTCTCTGAATAAATGAAACTGTATGGGTTGGATTCCTGGACAGAAGGACTCTGTTCACAGAAAGAGTTGGCTGTTCCTCCACACACATTACAGTGTATCCCATTCAACAGGGTCCACCAACCTTCTGCACAGTATTTTCAGGAGGCTCAAGGGACTGCCATGAGTGAGGGAGCATGTATTCCTTCTCCACCAGCCCAGTTGCATGTGTTTAAATCTGCATGCAGCCCTATAGGTTCAAGGCAAAGTAGGGGTTGACTAGAAATCAGTATCAGTTTCATCAGTAAATGATATCATTCATTTTTGTTGCATTTGATTGAACCCATTTTCCGTGCCAGAAGTTGGGTACCGCAGCCAATAACTATGTTTGAGGTCAGACATGAAGGTGAATCAGCAATGCATTTCATGGGAAAGGCATTGTTACCAAATTTCAATGTGCCCAAAAAGCTGTCAGTGCTTCCTTCATGACCATTTGAAAGGGTAGGAGCTTTCAGCAGTGCAGACATCTGGAAGGGAGCAACATGGTGCATTATACCAAGGATGAACCCTGAGTCCCTGGCAGAAGTGAGCTATTGTATGAGGCAGGACCATTTGATGTACAGATCCAGAGTTACCTTCTTTCCCCAGTAAGATTCTAGCCTAATTAGGAAGTCTCTTATACCCCATCCTCACCCAGGAGGACCCAATAGACAACCTGAATGGCTATGGTCTGTTAATCTCACCAGCCAGTGGACTCCGTACAGAGAGGCTAATCTCCTCTGCCACACCTTTATTCCCTGGCCCTTTTCCATCACTGCATGAGAAAAAGCATATTATATCAAGAACTACTACTATTCATTGCACTCAGGCATTAATTGTCACTGTATGTTTGTGCAATATCAGTGCACTTGTGGAATGCAAACCACTCCAGAACTTCTGTCTTCAAATTAGTCTGTGAGCTTGTCATTTTTTCACTCTGAGTAAACTAAAACAACTGAAATACAAACTTTTTGTTCCAAAGCAATTAGATTTCTCAGTATTTCATATCTATATCCCTGTTAGAAGCAATATGTCACAGTGTTGCCAGATTTCCTCAACATCAAAATATACATAATAAAATTTTGCCCAATTTTCAGTTGGGAATATATTTTAACTTGGCTTTCGTTTGTATAAATAGTTTCTTATCTGATAAATCCTGCTGTGAATGAATGCATATTATCTCTTGATCTCTCAGTGCAGAGTGCTTTAGCTTAGTATGCAAGCCCTGATATGAAGCATTAATTTTCCCGGCACTAAAATTGCCAGTTTTCCTTTGTCCATGATCCTGTACAATTGGGGCAAAAAAGGAGATTTGTCCCTTAGGATGTAATTACTGGATATCATGCTTTCTGTTCAGTTTTCTATATTTTTTCCATTACCTATGATTTAGTGATACACTGCTATATTACAGCACAACATCCTATGCTAGCTTTTCCATTATAAGCCCTTTTTACAGGTTTATAACTCAGAAGTAAAATGTACTCTTCCAATTTGAAGCTTGGCATGTAACATCTCAGTCTGAAAGCTAACTATCCCCCTTAAAATTTTACTTTACAGAAGTAAAGAAGTAAGAATGTATCTTCATATACTCTGTCAAACAATAGAAGTTATTCTTTATAGGAAAGAATAGTTTACTTTCTTGCTGAGATCATTATATGATTCATTTTATGTCTTACGCTGAAAAATAACTGGAAAAGACTTTCCCATGTAGAGTTCTTTCTTCTAAAAATTGTCTATTGTTCTGTGCACAGATATTGTTTAGCGTCTTCAGTTCTGGCAGCCATTCAATGATTAAGACCAGAGTTAAGGCTATCTCATTGTGTCTCAAACTCAACAAAGCAAGGTCATTGGGAGCTAAGGCATTCCACTGGGGGCATTCCAGAGAGGAGAGTGGAAGGATCATTGACCTGCCAGGATACAATGCATCCAGGAGGTGTGCCAGCCCCCCCCCCCCCTCCGCCCATCCCAAGTGCCACAGTTAGATGGGCAAAACTATCCTCCAGCTGATTTGCACGGAAAAAGGGGGAGAAAAATGAGGATCATCTCTGCACTCCTCCTGCTCTGCATAGGATGCCTGTAATCCACCAAGATTATGGGCAGCTCAAAGAAAACCAAAGAAGGAGAGGATGAAGTCCATAGAACCCTGGACTAGGATATGACTGTAGATACCAGTCCATCACTCTTTGGGCTCAGAGCTCCTGCTGGATTAATGCAGGGGAGAGGAAAGTGGGCTGTGTTCTCACCTCAATTCTCGGGTTTGTGCTTTTGGTTCATTTCCAATATAATCTCTCCAATCTTCTTCCACTCTCCTTCACAATCAGTATCTCCTGGGACAGCTCCTCAGGTAGTCACATTCCACAAGTGAAACACAAAGTAAAGCACCGTTGTGCATAAAATCTACTAGAGTTCCTCTGCAACACAGACTCTCTCTACAAACACTAAAACCCTGGCAGCATTCTAACTTCAGAATAAAACTGTGCATGCACCGCACAATATTTCCAGCAGTTCCTGCCATGTGTTTTAAAGTGGGAGAAAAATCTTATGCCAGCTAGATCACTGTTCAGAATGTCAGCAAAGTTTCACATACTTTTTACCAAAAAATAAAAAATCATGTTTACAAGTAATAGATGTTCAAGGCGTATATAGGCAGAACCATTTTCTTTAACTGAGCTTAACTGAAGGTCACTCCCAAGGTTGATTGAATGCTGTCTTTGTTGTTGTTACATGCTGCCAAGTTGTTTCTGAAAGCATCTCTTCCAAAATGAATGGCATGAGTGCATCTCTTCCAAAATGTCGCATTCAGTTGTTCTAAATTTATGGCTGTGGCTTCCTTCATGGAATAGATCCATTTTAGGTGTGGTCTTCCTCTTCTACCTTTAACTTTCCCTGCCATTATTGTATTCTGGAATGAATCTTGCCTTCTCATGGTGTGTCCAAAGTATGTCAACTTCAGTTTCATCATTTTTGCTTCCAGAAAAGTTCTGGCTTGATTCATTCTAGGACCCACTTTCTGTCAGTTTAGTGTATTCTCAAAGCTTTCCTCCAGAGCCATGTTTTGAACATACCAATTTTCTTCCTGCCAGCTTCCTCCCTGTTCAGCTTTCTCATCCACACACAGTGATCAGGAATGCAATAATGCAGATAGTCTTGGCCTTGATCTCCTGTGAAATGTCCTTACACCTAATGATTTTTTCTAGTTCCTTCATTACTGCCCTTCCAAATCTCAGTCTTCTTGCTTCTTGGCTGCAGTCTACATTTGAAGTGATTGTTGAATCAAGGTATACAAAATCTTTCCCAGCTCCAATTCCTTCGCTATTGACATTAAAGTTGTATACTCGTAATTCTTCTGTAGCCATGATTTTGGTTTTCTCAGTGTTCAGGTGCAGTCCTGCTTTTGCACTTTCTTCTTTCATTTCTTCAGGGGACATTTCTATTATTATTATTATTATTATTATTATTATTATTATTATTATTATTATTATAAAAGGTTTTCTATAGCATCCTTCACCTTGAGTCCCAGGACAAAGATACAGGAAAAGCACAGCATCATCTGAATTAACACAATTTATTGTCGGTTTCTGCCAGAAAAATGGTATCAACTACATATATATTCAATTTTTGATGCATTTTTAAGTGTTTCCTCATCTGATCCTATTCCAGCTTTCCTTATGTTATTTTCTGTGTACAGATTAAACAGATAAGAAGATAAAATGCACCCTTACCTGACACTCCTGCATATAGAAGTGCTGAAAAGCACACAGTTCTTTCAGCACCATCCATGGCTTTCCAGGATCCACACAGTCAAAGTCTTTTCATTTCTTGCTTTACATTTCCTAACTTGCCTTAATTTGTAGTCCTCACATGCCATATTCTAGTTGTATGTGCTGTGCAGCCTCTAAATTTCCTTTTGCCTCTGTGCATGTCAGTTACTAGACTTCTTTTAGTTTTGAACTAGTTACAACATAGCTTAAAGCTATTGCTGGAAACAATGCCTTAGCAGAAGAATTTAAAATGTTTAGGATGGGGGAGGGGGGACTGCACAGATGCTGGAAACCCAGCAAATTATTGGGAGTTTGGAAGAAAGCACAGGGAACCTGGAAGGTCAGATTGGGACCTACAGCTGACCATTCTTGGCTGCCAAGTTTGCAGTTCTGCATCTGAGGGTTATATGGCTGGAACAGAAAAGGCCTGGAAGCCATCAGAACACTCACTTTTCCTGGTGAAGGATCCTCTGATTGCACATCCATATATACATAATCATAAAGCTATTTAAAACACTATCTATGCAGGCAGCATTTGTCTTGTATCTTTGTTATGTGCTTTGAAATGTGTGGAAAAAAATTCTTGAAGTTGAATTTAGTATGGGTCATATTATTTGTGTTGTGACATGCATTCTGTTCAAGCAAAGCCTGAGAATTTTTTTTAAAAATCTGCATGAAAGAAACTGCAGTCTCCATCTAACCAGGGTGAAAACAAAACTACCAAATATTTGACTGAAGTTGTGATAACCCTAAAAGGATCAAGTTAACAGTGTGTTTGTGCTATAATGAAGAGACTATATTTAGAGTAGTAGGCTGAGGGTAACTTTTTTTCATTCTCAAAGTCTGCCCATAAATATTGTCTCCAATATTACTGGTAAAAGAAAGTACTGTAGTAACTTTTGCATCTCTCTACAGGTACCAAAGCAGGGCTTCAATGACTCTGTAGCAACAGAACTCTGTGTGACTGGGGTAAGATTTTGCACTTTATTAGAGCAATAGTTGCTAGTCCAAATATTACTATGAATAATCTTCTCAGAGCCTTCCTGATGAAAGCATTCAAATAGGGTTTTTGACTAGTGGTTTCTTCCTACAGAAGCTAGGGAAGTACATTCTACACCTCATCCTATATTCCTTGAGCACCACTTCTTATAACTAGGGCATCCTGAAATTCGGTCCCCTTAATAAATAATCTGCTAATCCAGCCAGAATCTTGTATTATTTGCTTCCCCTTCTGTTCAAAAGCTTGAACATGTTGCACGTACAATCAGTATTACATTTATATTCAAACATTTTTCCTCCTGCAAGGAACCCAAGGTGGCTCATGCGGTCCTTGTCCTCCCCAATTTATTCTCACAAAAACACTGCAAGGTAGGTTTGATTGAGAGTCAGCAATTGACCCAAAGTGACATTCATGGCCCTAAAAGAAAGGTGTGAGCAGCATAGGAAGGGCTGGTTGCATACTCTGTGAACCAATGGCCGCAGTGACAAGAAAGTGTAGTATATGAGTTGAACTGCTAAAATACATGAATGTGGGAGCAGGTGAACTGAGGGCTTTTGATGTATATACATGGATGAGGGTGGTCCTCCAAATGATGCTTTTCATGTGCACCAAGTCCGCTGACCCTAGTTGTGGACAACAGTTGTCGTCTCTAATGCAGACCTATTCAATTCATTCAGGATAATTTCCATTCACTCTATATCAGTATATATGTTCTAGGGCGGTCAGAAACTTGCCCAGAATAGCCATTCACCTCCAACCATGTAGCAGAAAGGTAATTGCATTTTAATTCTTTGTAGCACATGATTTTGCAGGTCACATGATAATTACCCTTCATCTTTGCAGTGCAATTAGCTGGTAATCTGCAAGAACATGCAATCATATGGCTCTTAGGAAGACCCTTAAACATAGCAGATCAGATTTTATGGCTGAGAGAATACTCACCTGGGATAAATGAAATGACAGTTACTGAATCCATGTGGAGAATAAGACTGAATGCAGCTTCTTCTTTCTATATTCTCCCTACATCTTTCAGTTTTGTCCTGTAGGTTAATCTATCTGAGTATTCATCTCCAGCACCACAGATGCTTCTACTGGAGAGGAAATAGTTCTTTGAGGATTTGGTTAATCCACTAATCTTATGAAACCATATTAGATTTTTTTTCTTAGCTGAAAGATGGGGTATAAATCACAATTAATTAATCAATAAATCTATGAACAAATTAAAGCTTTTCAATATTGAAATATGGACATGTAAGAACAGAGGGCCGAGGAGGAGAAACTGCATAGTCCACAGAGGAGTATTCATGTCTAGACTGAAGACCCCGATTTTGGCAGAACTAGTTTATGTGTCGATGTGCACACACATGGGAGCTTCTTTTATTGGGTGTATATTTTTAGTAATAGGAAAGAGGTCATGTATAGGTCCCTGAAAACTCTACAGTAAGAGGACCCAGTGCCATCACTGGCATATGTGCAAAATTCAAAACCCAGTCTTCATATTGTTTATGACTATACCCTGTACGTATATAGAGAACACCCTGATTTCTAATGAACCTACATGACCTTCAGCTTCAGGAAATATTTCTGTGGACAATACAAAGCCTGTTCATAGTGATAGCTCTCTCACTCTCACACACACACACACACACACACACACACACACTTACACACACACATACAAACCAACAACAACCAGGGGGAATCTTTGCAACCTGAGGCCAACAGAGAATTGAAGCTTATTTTAAAATACAAAAGGTTTTTAATAGCACAATCCTGTGCATGTCTACTGAAAAGGATGTCCCACTAAATTCAGTGGAGTTTATTCTCAGGAAACTGAGTATAGAACTCCAGCATAATGTGTTTTTACTCATATGTTTGATGTTCCTTGAACATAATTTGAGTATCAGGAAAAAAAGAAAAGAAGTTTCATATTATTGGCAGGAGTTCCTTGACCAAGTCAAGTGAAGCTGCCGTAACTTGATGTAGAAAGTAGCCTGTGGGTAACATAGGAAGGGGCTTGTTGAAAAGGATCTAAAAAAAACTAGGTTGTGCTCATGAAAATGTGGTGACCAATATAAGTGATTGTGTCTTGCAGAATGCAATTGGAAAGGAAAGCGTGGCAGGAGGATCCACCAGTCACATGTCCTCCGATAATTCATCTGCTCTTCGTTTAAGCATCAGGCCAAGCACACTTCTCCTGCTGATGGCAATTGCACTCTCATTCTGCATGTGCCCATGTTCAGCAGAAACCTTGTACCTGCTTTAACAAAAGGACCTGTACAAAGCAAAATGAAAAAGGAAACCGATCTGTTCCCTTTCCTCCTCAGTTGTTGATCTGAAATTACAGTTCTAGGAGTTAAGTTGAGGCACTCTGCTAAAAATAGTTCTGGATCGTCGTCGTCATCATCACCATCATATTATATTGTTATTATTTCCTTGTTTTTGAAGGAAGCTTCTTGTGATACTTAGGAGCTTTGTGAAATACTCGATACCGTACTACTTTGCCAACTCAGAAGGCTTTTGGACATGCAGTGTTTTAAAAGAGATGGAATGCCAATTTGCATGTAATCCATCCAGGTTGGGTTCTTTTCTTTATTCCTCATTTTCCTTTCCTTCACTATTTTAATTCTAATTTTAAGCCACGCTTCCTAAAATCCCATGTCTTTCACATGCAGCCCCATCAGCCAGGTTGTTCCCTCTGCGAGACCTGTTGTGATGAATGGGATCTGCGCAAGAGCACTGTAGCACTTTTATGCAGCTTCCAGTTATTTCAACATGAAGGCAGAGTTACTCCTAAACCAGTAACCTGATAAAAACTATGGTTTCTGCTGGAGGCAGATGTATAGTCAGGGTGGATCAAGGGCTCACTGCTTTCCAGCAGGGTTGGGGTCTAGACTATAAGCAAAACCCATGCATAGCAAACCCTGGGATCCCTTGGGCTGTGCTAGCCACACACACACACACACACACACACACACAGCCCTGTTTCTGGATGCCTGTTTCTGGGTCAGGAATTAGTAGTGTTGTCATCGCCCCCTGGCACACCACAGACCTCTGAGCAGATAAGGGAAGCCCTGCATAAATAACTTCCTGGTAGATGTCACCATTGATTTTTTTAAATTATTATTATTTTCGAATTCAACCTGTTTTGAAGTAACGAAGGAACAGGCTATTGACACATGATGAATGTCTTCCTGGAGAGTAAGTTTTATGAAACATCTTCATGTTTCTAGATGGCTACCAATGTTTTAATGTTTAGCATTCTCTTCCATGTTTATATATGTAACTGGTTTTGCAGTCCTTGCTGAGAAACCATTATAAGTTATATACCAGTATAATGCACATATTTTCTTCAAAGTTTCTTCAGAAATAGAGAGTGATATTAAACTTTCTAACACTACTTCTATTTTTCTGATTATGATCATTTAGCCTTAACAAGGGTTAAAAATAATCCTACATTAACAAGAAACAACAGTTGTGAATATTTCAGTAACCTAAAATTATTTTATCTTTCTGAGGATATATTTAAAAGAAATAGAAACTTTTTTTTGTTAAAACACTTCAGCTATATAATTGTTGGTCTTCTTTATTGTAATTATACCATTAGTTATTTTACTGTTGGTTGAATAAAAATGGCCTGAATCTTAATTACTTTAAAGAAACACCATTATCTGTTTATATTTACTACAGTGAAAAAGGTACGGTATAAAGCTTTTTTCACTATTGATTCCTTGCCCAGTACATGAAAGTGTAAGCACAGCAGAAGGCTGGAATATGCTGCTATGTTTGGAGAGATACTACTTGGAGAGATTCATGGCATTCCACATACCATACTAGTCTCCCGGATAAGGAGTTTCCAATCAGCTGATTTTCGCACATGCCCAGTTTATCTCACAGACTTGAGGCAACTGGTTTATCACCTGTACTGGGTAGAGTGAAGTGCTTTCTTCCTTCCTATGCACTGTTTGCTCTTGCCAATATGGTGAAAACCAAGAAAGAAGCAGGGCTTGCAGTCTTTTTCTATGGACAGATGAAAAATTATTTCTTTCCATTGTTAGCAACGAGAGGGAGACATGTATATCGTCTATGAAAGTGTTTAAATGTTTCCTGAAGATAGGGTGTGACTGAGAACTGTGAAGGCTTAGGATCTCTTAGATCATTGGCCACTCCCCTTTGCCCACTGGCATGCCCCTGAAATGCTCATTTGCTTTCTCTGCAAGGTCACAAAGGAAGCTGCCAAAGAAAACTCCATGGTGGTGGTGCAGAGCCAAACTAAGGACTTAGATGGCAAAGTCTGTGGCCTCAGAGGAGGTCACCACGGAATCCTAGGGGTCCTGGGACTCAGTCTAGAACTATAAAATTGCTCGCAGAGAAGGCGCTCTTGGGCCGCTAAAATAAACTTTCCCTAGAATGCTGTGGTAGAGACCACTGAACATCGTAAACTTGCTCTTAAACTAGATTGAACCTCTGATCCTAAAAGCAAGATACTGCATTGCAGTCTGAATCACTAAGTTGATCACTGTCTGAATCAATGTCACACTGTAACTTACTCCAAGCATTCTGAAACGGCCCACATGGAGCATTTCTTGGTATGCACTATGTGAAGAAAGTATCTCCTGACTGAGCAGTTTTACCAATGTATACCACTTCCAGTGGCAGTTTATGTGTGTGTGATGTGCCATCATCTTTCACCTGCTACCCTCATGTATGTTGCTTCCTGGAAGTGGTGAGATTTTGATGGGGTTGTATCTGGTATCTGCTAGGGGTCCTTCATGTGGAAGGTATTGGAAAAGCTGAACTAGAGCTAGCACAACAGACAAAATGGGTTCTGCTGTAGCAGCAACATTCACATCACTGCAGCATTGCCTGG